ATGTATACTGTGGGGCTTTGGAATTTGGAATCATAAAATATAAACAAAAATTGTCATGTACACATAAATTTGTTATGTATGGGACGCACAAACATTTGACATGACAGTTTGTCTCTGAAGTTCTGCTATATCTCGTCGTATTTTAAAAGGGCATTTGAAGACCGATTTTCTTAGCGAGACATTCTTTTTTTTCTTCTAGGATATCCTTCCAAACCGACACAACAAAGATTTTTTTTTTAATCACAGATTATTTTCACCTCTTCTTTAACTCACCCTTCCCTTAAAGTCAACATTTTTCATTTACTTCTCGATCAATATATCCCACTAGGGGTTTTGTTACCCCTCTGGTAGGTTCATGATCCTTTACATGTACTTATATCGAGGCGAATATAACAGAAAAGAGAGGCTTTTGAAGAGAATAATAACGAGGGATTAATCCTTTGAAATAAAGGACGTGTTCCAAGAAACTCAGATTGAATATCCCCCCCCCCCCTCGTAACTGGGGTGTTAATTATCTAGGATTTCATTAATTAACAATAGGAGACACCTTTTTTGTTGAGCGCATTGTACTGGGTAGGTCCAAGGTGGTACATGCATTTGTAGCCTCCCAGGATTTGAATGGGGGTATTTGTTTTCCACAAATGAAACAAAAACTATTCATCAGACGAAAACGGTCATGAGGGAATTAAAATTACATGTACAAGATGCCATCCGAATAGATGCAGATTAGGCAAACATGCACCCATCTTACATGTATATGTGACTTTAAAAAGTCGGTGTTGCCCTCTATCAAAAATGAATATCCCAGTCATGATTATTATTATTTTGCAGTGCAACACACTTTGCTAAATATCAGTAAACATATATTACATTGATATGTTTGTGCAAAAGTCGATTCATCCTTCTCCTTCTCAATAACAACAACAACAACAAAAATAACAGCAAAACAAACCTCGCATTTCAGCGCTTACGAGGGCGACTTTTACTCTAAATTTACTCCCAAAATAACTTCGCATGATTTAGGTATTCATAAAAACCTATCCTCTTTTCTTCATTTTTCACCAAGCGAACATGATTTAAATCATATCACTTCCGTTCTTAAATATCATTGGTAAATAAAAGAATTATGAATTAACCCGAAAATGGACATGCACATTGCACTCAACATTTGTTCCTGCATTTCAGCGCTTACGAGGGCGACTTTTACTCTAAATTTACTCCCAAAATAACTTCGCATGATTTAGGTATTCATAAAAACCAGAACGAGTATAAAAACAAGAACAAGACACCACTTGAAATAAATGGTATCTTATTTGGTTATTACAATATGTTATAGCTTTCTCTACTTTACACACGGATTCAGTTAGTAGTAGATTACGCATAACGATACCAGTCTCAAGCCCTTTCCATTTAGGAGGAAAAGTGACCACATTCTTTGACCATAACAGACCACCAAAACAAAGGAGGACCCAGAAATGTTATTCAAAAACGCACTTGACCGTTTCGGCATAATCGGTTGCAGATTGTTTGTACACGATGTACCGTACCATGTAACTGCGTCTATTGTAAGAAACATACCGGATTACAAGATCCTAGTAAACCATGATGGAAACAGCTACAAGTCAAATCGCCCTAGTAGCTGGTTAAGTCGATGTTTCATTCAATACGGTGATGGGGATTAAAACATGAATAGCGGACTAACTGGAACGCAGTTTCGATAACGCTTGGAGCCGAACAAAAGCGTTATTAGAGACTATTCGGATTAATGGGGGTGTCCTGCCTCGACATTGGCAAAACAAAAGTTTGTCATTAAATGCAAAGGTGTTCCAGGAATAAAAGATTGGGGCTGGATAAATCCCTGATCGATTTCTTTTCTTCTCGAATTCGATGTTACCGTTGTGCATGGCTTCTGAGTAAAAGTTTGGTAGAATTAACGGTGAAAGGGGGATTTCGGATTAGTTGAAAATGTGTAAGCATCGGTTTCGATCATTTGGCTTTGGAAAAAAGGATGAGTTTCACCTTTATTCCAATTACGTTTATTTTATAGAGGAGGTTAAACTATGTGTCACCAAATATAAATAAAAGTCGGAGGCACCATGTCCCATTACGAAAAAAGATAAATGCAGGCAATATCATTATTTGAGAGAAAGAAGTTTTCTGTTTTTAGATGAAGTTTCCAAAACGTCCTTAATTATATTTATCACCCATCTGTTATGTTTTTTTTTTCTTCGCTAGACTGTTATACCAATTCCTTCTTTTTTATGTCTAGAACTTCTTTGTTGAAAGACACACACATATTTTATACATTATATTTTTCTTCTCTCTCTCCTTTCTCTTGATCGTACTCTCTCGCTCCCCTCCCTATCTTTCTCTCTCGATCGTAAACTCTCGCTTTGTGCCTCTTTCTCTCTCTCTCTCTCTCTCGCTCATAGTATACCAAACGATGATGACGATTGTTGTGCCAGATTTTCCCAACAGATGAAAAGTAACGGGACATTCGTCTTAATCCGACGGAAATCTATCTTATTGGCACTATACCAATGAGACTTGGCCATTGAAAAAAAAATAGTTGGGATTCACGGTTAAGTCTGACAAGTCCGTTATCTTTCAAAGGGAACCTCTTTTTCTTTTAATAATAATGATAATAATTATTTATGGTAATGATCATAATTAAAATTATTTATGGTAAATTATTTATGGTAATGACGAACTAATGACTTTATCATACAACATAATCCGACAAAAGTTCTCCTAACGTTTAAAAAATTAGTAATTAAATTATCTCAGACTAGCTTGATAAAAATAGATGTAAATTTTGTTCAGTGCTGAGTAAAATTAAGATAGGCGAAGAAATGAGGATAGGAAATTACGCATTTCAAAGCAATTTTCGCAAGTTTACCCGTTAAAACGGTGCATTTACTGCTTATACATCAACGTGTAATTCAACATGGACCTACATGATTTCAGGTAGTATTTCAATTTTAATTTCAATTTTGAACAGCACATATAATGCTAGTTCGAGAACCCGAGGTCGCCTTTAAATTTCCTGACATATTTTCTTCATTTATTTTGATTGACTTCAACATCTGTACTGCCCACACCGGTAGACAATACTCTATACCGGTTAATCATTTTTAATTGATATTCGACAGACTGGCGGTTTAAACTTAGCTGGAAATGGAAGTTCAATGGTCAACTACCTCTTGCCGAAAGGAGATAAGATAAATAGAGATTAGTTTGATAGATTTCTGCTGGCAACCCTGAGGTCATCTTGAGTCTTGACCAGTTGTTGAGCTCTGGTAAAAGGCCAAATTAAAAAAAACATGTTTAGCGTCCTAGGAAGGAGGACGCCCTTTTTTCTTTCAAAATGGCCGCTCTAAAGGGCCGCTCGGTACATTTTCCCTGACAGTCGGGCTATTTTTCAAGATGGCCGCCGACATTTAAAAAAAAAAGAAAAAAAGAAAAGAAAAGAAAATAGGAGGTGGCCCCCAAAAAGAATCGGGCGGGGACGCTAAACATGTATATATTTGTTTTAATGGCCTAAGGCCAAATAGAAGAAACAACATGTTTAACGTCCTGCCTTTTTGAAAAAAAGAAAGGAGGAGGCTCCCTTTTTTTTCTTCATTTATTCTTCAAAATGGCCACTCGGTACATTTTCCCAGACAGACGGGCTATTTTTGAAGATGACCGCCGGCATTTTTTTTTTTTAAATATCAGAAATATATCATTTTGGCAGAGTTTTTGCAGAGTTTTTTTTCTTAAAAAAAAAAGGAGGCGGCCCCAAAAAAGGAAGCGGGCGGGGACGCTAAACATGAATTTTTTTACTCGGCCTTAAATGCAGACGCATTTCAAGCGAAATTTACTTTGAAAAGTCATCATTTGTTTTGTACAGGGCGTAGGCATATGCAGATATAATGGGCCCCTCAAAAATATTGAGTTTCGAGGTAGTTTGTCATATGTGATAGATATTGAAAGGAGGAGGGGCGGGGGCGAGTGGGTATATGTGAAGGATATAGAGGGAAGCGCGATGGCTCAGTGGTTGAGCAGTGATCTCGAAACTGGGAGGTGCCGGGTTCGAAACCAAGTCGATGCGCTAGTGCCCTTTGGTAAGATATTAATCACCATTACCAAGTCCATCGAAGAAGACTGAAAGCTGTTGATACAATCGTTGCTTTAATACTTAGCAGTCAGGTAAAACAGACAAACATCCAAACGAAGAATTAAAGATAAACTAGGCATATAATATAATATACCATGTATAAAGAAATATGGCAAGAGTTTCACAATTTTAGGTTTTAAGGCCCAAGTTCCCACTAATATCTTCCCCCTCTCTCTCCTCCCCATCTCTCTCTCTCTCTCTCTCTCTCTCTTTCAGCTCAAATATAATTCACCATTTCCAACTCTCTATGAGAGTTATACCGCAAAGCCATGTTAATACAGCGAATGCCTTGCAGAAAAGTAACAAAAGTTTTATTTAAAAATATTGATGTAATTCGTTTATATCCTGTCGGTACTCAATGCTGAAGTGTACACGACTCCCAAAAACTGTAATAAACAGAGCATTATGAAAAGGTGTAAATTCGATGAATTCTTACTTCCTTTCTCGGTCATCACACAATCAATAGACCAATGACTGAGGGAAATGCAGAATATCAAGAAAAATACGAAAGTCGTATGTTTACTATAAGATAATCGTATCGGGAAATCATTTAACATTTAAGGACTTCAATGAAAACAATGCACAAGAATAAACCTGAATTAAGAAGAAAAAGAAGAAGAAGAAGAAGAAGAAGAAGAAGAAGAAGAAGAAGAAGGAGAAGAAGAAGAGGAAGAGGAAGAATAAGAATAAGAAGAAGAAGAAGAAGTAGAAGAAGAGGAAGATGAAGAGGAAGAAGAAGAATAAGAAGAAGGAGAAGGAGAAGAAGGAGAGAAAGGAGAAGAACAACAAGAATTTACTAGCAATTGGCAAAACAAATGAATTCACAGTTAGAGGTACATACCTATCGTCTCTTTAACATTTTTGCAGAAATCCGGCCCACCAAAGCCATCAACAAGAACATTATTATCTTTCATGGTTGGTACACCGCCTCTTGTGCTGGTATGTGATCCTCCAAGACCGCCTCTAAATCATATCCAAGTTCAGTTGGGAAGGGGTAAAGCCTTTGAAGTCATGTCTCTTTAATGTTGCTTGGTCGAAAGCAGTCTTACAGAACGAACTTCAAGTCGTATTATCAATTATGATAAATGTGGTGACGTCGATTTAATTGTACATCAGAGTGAAGGTCTTCATTCGTCTTGGGTTTCGAATCCTGCGCCTCATGAGGTCATCAAGTCTCTGCGAAATCGGTTACACAATATTGAAAGTCCACGAAAACTATTGATGAATCCTCCGTACAGGAATGCCACAGACCCCACGCAAAAAGGTCATCACAGTGCTCTCCGGTGGATAGTAATGTTATGTAACAGTAAACCGTGTTCGTAGGTATGAAAGCCCAAGTCCATGTTCAGCTGATCCACGCCGTAATGTTAGCCCCGTCTAGCGGGGGTGTAGTTAGGATTATCTTTTCTAAAGGGGGACTATGAGTTTGGGGGGGGGGGGGGGGGGGGGGTAATGTGTGTGGCGTAATCAACAATACACTATCATTCGAAGACTGTATCACACATGCAGCCATGTACGTACATACACGAATGGAAAATGTGTGTGTGCGTGTGTGTGTATGTTAAAAGCACTGTAAAGGAAGGGGTGTAAAACAATTACGAAGGGGGTGACTCCATCTCCCTTTAGTACCTCGTAAAGAAACGGAGGGGTGTTATAACATTTCCCAGACAATAACTCATTGACCGGAGATTACTGAGTAGAAGGCTATTAGCAGCTACACATCGGGGATAATCGGAAAACAACTTATGAATATTCATTAGTAAACAACAGGAACGGGTACAGTTGTAAAAGCTAGTCTTCGTTTCCCGGCATACGGCGACATTACAAAAGGAAGTTTGTCATACCAGCTAGGGAAGGAATGATGACAGAATCTTTATGAGAAAGGGAAACATGAGATATAAAAAGAGAGAGAGACAGAGAGAGACAGAGAGAGACAGAGAGACAGAAAGAGAGAGAGAGAGAGAAAGAGAGAGCGAAGGAAAGAAAAATAGGTAGACAAATATTCCATGTACATGTATCTACAGAGAGAGAGAGAGAGAGAGAGAGAGATGGAGAGAAGGAGGGGGAGGGGTACATGATTTTGTTGGTGTCAGTAAGGGTACGATAGATAGAAGTGATGCATTGCTATTATGACCACCATCTATTTTAAAGAAGAATAACCATGATTAAAATGAAATGATGTTGTTCCATCAACAAAATATGTCAACACATGAACATAATATTTAATCACAATTTACCATACCTATATATAATTATAACTCGGTCTTAAATCAGAAATGTTACATCTCCAAACTATGTTTTTAAAGGAAAATGTGACTAAATAAACGGGAAAATAACGTACCTATTCAAGTTCAGGTATGGGTTAAAAGACTATCACCTTCTTCATCTTTGTTTAGTTTTACACAACTGTAAAATGTAGTTTATTCAGCTGAATAATCCCTATGTCTACTATCAAGACACTCCAATTCTAGGAATCGTTTAAAAGACAAGGGGCAACGAAGCGTACCCCTATCTCGTCCTTCTTGCACATGGTGTGTGTTGTGTTTACTCACTAGTATATTTACCTGTAGTTTATAGATATAGACCTTGAGCGACAAAATTGGTATGAGACAAGCGTCCAGTGGGGGCATTTAGAGAAAGAGAGAAAGACACAGTGAGGGGGAGAGAGGGAGAGTTTATGTGCGCGTGTGCGTGTAAAATAATGTATTTATATAGTGAACAGAGGGAACTTGATAGTTCACTTACTTATTCGTCTTCCATAATTATTCAGTGAGATCATCGCAAAAACAAACAAACACAGAACATTAGGAACGGATGGAGTTCTACAACAACAAAGTCATGGAAAATGATGAGGGGGGGGGGGCTGAGAAGATAATAGCTTGTAAGTGTAATAAAAGAATTGGCTTTCTTCACGGATGTCTTGATACATTTATAATTAATATTGGAACAGACTCTTCCAAAGAGATATATTTGTTGATTTGACACCATTCTTAATCACCTCTTACTTTTGCATCCGTACATGTATTTTTATAAACAAAAATCATCATAATAGGGTCTGCGCGTTAAGACTAGCTAACCAGACTCCTTTCTACGGAAGATGTGTAGTTAGCATAGAGATATATACTTAATAGGACTATCTCTACGGTAGTTAGTCAGTCCAGTCGCCTGCCTGGGGCCGGTTTCTCGAAACCATCATGAGTTCAAGTTCGTGGATATCCCATAGAAAATCGTATTGATTCTATACCACATGTTACAACGGGATGTCCAAGAAGTTAGAATTATGATGGTTTAGAGAAACGGCCCCAGCTTTTTATTTTATCATATCTCTTTTATATAGCGTATCATGACCAGGAACAATTTGGCCTAGTTAGTTTATTAGGAAGATGGGATACCATATTGTACATAAAGGGAGAAATGAGAGAAGAGAAACAGAGAGAGAGAGAGAGAGGAGAGGTTTACTCCATGAGACATTTAAAGCTAGCGCTATTGAACACATTTACATTTACAATTTCTGATTAAGATTTCTATTAAAACGCTTCGATAAATTTCAACATACTGGTAATTAAACACAAAAATACCAAAATCAAAGAAAGAAAAACACATACGAATTGTGTAGAAATAGTAAGAAATAAGGAAAACCCCGAGATACATCACATGTCAGTGATCACGTGATGGTGTACGTATCAGTCACGATCAACGAACTCAAACCAAGTAGAAGGATTGTGTCCGTTCACGTTTCACGCAGCGCAATGGCACCGCTCGAGTGCGCCCGCCGCCATTTTGCGTAGTACAAGAAATCGCCTGCGCATACGTATTGTGTACAAGCTCCTATTGCAATTGGAGGAAGGGACGTCCAGAAACCAGGGTTTTATTGTTAGTTTTGGTGAAAAATATCTTTACATATATTGTTTATGCCCTTTTCCAAGTCCCATACAGATGTTTGATGACTTGAATATTGGAATAAGAGCGGCAGCTTGGACAGTAGGGGAGTTGAAATTTTAGGTTTTTTTTGCATAAAGACTAAAAGAGCTAGACTATTTGTTAAATATCATTTGTGGTATTAGGCTAGTTTTGTCTCTTTCTGTGATAGAAAGAATATATCAAATTATTTAGGCTCTATCTATCGTAAATTCTCAGTCTTTGTGTTTCTCTTCCCACTCCCCCTCTCTCTATCCCCTTCTCTCCCTCCCTCTCTTTTCTATCACACTCCCCCTCTCCCCTTCTTTCTCTCTACCCCTTTCTCTACTCCCTCTCTCTTTCTCTCTATCCCCTTCTCTCTCTCCTTCTCTTTTTCTTTCACTCTCCCTTTCTTTCTTTCTCTCTTTCTCTCTATCCCCTTCTCTTTTTCTCTCCCCCTTTTTCTTTCACTCTCCCCCTCTCTCTTTTTGTCTCTCTCCCCTCTCTCTTTCTCTATCCCTTTGATTCTTGGCACTGCAGAAGTAGGCCCACTGAATATTAATATTATTTCTTTTCTTTCCCTTGGGAGGCTACCATTTAGCTGCCAGATATTATTTTCATCCCATATAGGCATATTAAAGATTTGTCTAAGAAGTGTTAAGTAATGACACATTGTGGCAACTATTCACATGTCTTTCCACATAATTGTGAATACTTTCATCTTTATTAAGTTTTTTTTTAACCTTGGCATTGCGCTATGTATTACATGAATGTATACAGTACTTATCAAAACATCCATGAACTATTGCAATGGTGGATATGAAGAAAAAAATCCTCAATGGTGTGGAAAAAACGTTCCTCAAGCAAGCAATCATGGCACATTATGTTTATACCGGCACATTTCTTATTCATTTTAACACACAGAGAAATAATCACATGTACATTTGCATTTGACTGACTACAATGTACAAAAGGCAAGATTTTCTCCCTTTTAGCACTCAAAACTTGAACATACTTCATTAATAAACTAGACTTCAACAAGATATAATACAATCAGTATTTCCCTCTCTTTGGTTTGTTCACGAAGCAATGTATGGATTCATCTGATTTCAGTGAAAACTTTTAAAACAGATTTTTACTCTAGATGAAAGTTGCAACTTTCATTTAGCTCAAGCTCTTTCAGTTGGTAAACATGGATACAACCATTGCAACTACAGTTTGAATTCAGTAGTGTAGAATAGATGACACTGCACATTGAACAATAAAATCATTGGACAATATTTTATAACAAAACAGGGATCGTTTGCATACACCGTAAACCTCTGTATACAGATTTTCATACAACATAATGAGTGACTTCCTTATCTAATTTGACGAAACAATTTGTTTGTACACACATGTATGTGGCACTATGCCATCACCGAATACATTATCCATTATCAAGAAACATACGCACAATAATTTGTAAATAGCTTCGGGAACCATAAGAGATCAGAGTCAAGTTAAAAATACAAAATTTAAAGAAAATCCCTTTCCCTGAAACACGTTGACAATAATCCAGTTTTTTTTTTATTTCTTTGATGCCTCTTTCGCAAATTCTAATCTCAAATCTAATTTATGCAATCAGATTCAAACTATACCTAAACCTGTCAGACAGAAGACAGGCTAGTGTCAATAATAGAATCACACAATTCCTTTCTCTCTGGGTAAGCCTAGATGTATAAAACACAAAATAGACCAATAGGGCAAACATCGTAATAAATACCGTATACTATATTATCCCTGTAGTGCACATTCTGTCATTTCAGTGGGAAGGAGAAGATGAAATAGTCTGTTTGAATTAGTATATTTATTTCATCAATGGTAAAATATTATGTAAAAAAATACACATAAATAAGATTGACCAATTTTTTACCCTTTTACAGCAGAAATCCCAAAATATTTCAAAATGTATAATAATGTCTTTAAAGATATACATGTACCAGAATAATGGGAGCTTCGCAAAATATTGCCTGGTGTTTTTTTTTGTCTTGATTTGTATTTCAAGTGCTGTGCTTTACTAGGCCATATGAAATCACTACATAATCTACACATATTCATCTGAGGAGTAAGTTTTAGAGGACGTAGGAAGGTTCATGCAGGTAGCTTCTTTAACTGCCATGACTGACAGGTCGTAACTTTCACCGTCTTTGATGAGTAAAATTTCTTGTGTTACAACAATTTAAATGTCCAAAATTAAGGTGTAAATTTTGAGTAAATTCCAGTAAATTTCTTACAATAATGCTTGAAAGTCTGACGAATCACGGGAAATTGTGTCACTATTAATACCAGCGCCGCGATCATCATTGCAACATGTTCATAAGTTCAAGTTAATCTTCAAAGTAACTTGAACCAAGTTTCACCAAGTCAAACAAAGAAAGTGACCTGCTTATGCCCCAATGATTCCCCCCCCCCCCCCCAAAAAAAAAAACAAAAAAACA